TATGAGATGTTTGTTTGGTTCGAGACTCAAAAATCACGATGTGCTCTCTGTATACATATTGTATTGGATGTACAATGCAGCTTGGTGCTGGGAAGGCAGCATGGTTACAAGCGTTGAGTAGAGAGAGCTGGTTGGTGAGGGTGCTCAAAGGAGGACAGCTTGTGGGTCGCCAAACTCGCCGGTGGGAGCGAGGACCGCCAGGCAGGCGGAGGAGGAGGAGGTGTTGCTGGTTGGTTGGTGTCGGTAGAAAGAGAGGATGGTCAGAGGAGGACCAGCTTGTGGGTCGCCATGCTCGCCGGCGGGAGCGAGGGCCGCCAGGCAGCGGCGGAGGAGGAGGAGGTGTTGCTTGCTGCGGCTGTAGCTAGAAGAATAGGAGAGGTCACCACGAGGTCAGGTCTTAAATAGCGGGGGTAGGCGTGGCTTAGTTGTTGACCTCCGTCATGTATGGCGGCGCTGGTTTGTAGTGGATTTCTCCCCTACAAACGCTGTTTGTCGCTGCATAGCCGACCCCGCGAATTCTCCAGTGTATGCCTCGTGGTCTGGGTCAACCAGCGCCGCCGTACATCACAGAGGTCAACTACTAAGCCACGCCTACCCCTCGCTATTTAAGACCTGACCTCGTGGTGAGCGCTCTCTCTCTACCTACACCAAACAGCCAGCAACACCACCTCCTCCTCCGCCTGCCTGGCGGTCCTCGCTCCCGCCGGCGAGCATGGCGACCCACAAGCTGTCCTCCTCTGAGCACCCTCACCAACCAGCTCTCTCTACATCACGCTTGTAACCATGTTGCCTTCCCAGCACCAAGCTGCATTGTACATCCAATACAACATGTATACAGAGAGCACATTGTGAGTTTCCTTTCTCCATCCTATCCTGAGTGTGAACCCAAACAAAACGTACCCCACAGGTTGACCTAGACCACGAGGCATCCACTGGAGAATTCGTGGGGTCGGCTACTCAGCGACAGGTCCTTGGAAGTAAAATTAGTTGCTCAGGACAAGGGGTAAAACAGGACCAGGGAAGAGTAGGTTTAAATGTATACTATACAAACAGTAGGAGCGTTAGAAATAAAATAGACTTGCTGAGAGCGGTTGTATGTACCGAGAATGTAGACGTCATAGCAATCACCGAAACTTGGATGAATCTGGCGAGCAAAAATTTTTTATCAGAGTACCACATAGAAGGGTACAACCTTTTTCACAAGGACAGGGAAGGTAGGAAGGGGGGAGGGGTCGCACTCTTCGTCAAGGATACATTAAAATGTTGTACTAATAATTCAATAAAGGGTGAAATAGGAACCGAGTCTGTGTGGGTAGAAATCACGGAAGGAAGAGAAAAACTAATTATGGGAGTGATTTACAGGCCCCCAAGTCTTAGCAAAGAAGCAGCTTAGCCCATATGGCAGGAAATGAGTAGGGCAGCAAAATATAACAACCTATGCATTATGGGGGATTTCAACTTCAGAAATATTGACTGGGACAACATTGTAGGCGACTATGAATCTGAAGACTTCCTAGACGCAGTACAGGACAATTTTTTGAAACAACTAATTACAGAACCTACTAGAGGTGACAATATATTAGACCTAGTATTAACAAATAAAGAAAATATTATCAGAGATATCACAGTAGGGGAAGAACTAGGTAACAGTGATCACAGAGAAATCAGGTTCACCCTAAATTGGGAAACGAAAAACAATGACAATATGGTCAGAGTCCCAAACTTTCGGTTGGCGGATTATCAGGGGTTAAGAAGGTACCTAGGTGAGGTCACCTGGGAACAGTCACGTCAGTTCCCAGTAGGAAGTGGTGAGGTCATAGATGACACAACAATTGATCATGACTATAATATATTCACCAGTATACTACATAAAGCACAAGAACAAAATATACCATACAGAAAAATTAGGTCAAATAAGAATGAGCCAAGGTGGATGACCAGAAAACTTAAACATGACATAGGAATAAAGAAAGGAATATATTAGAAATTAAAGGGAGGGGAGGAGCAGCTCAGAAACAGGTATAATGAACTATCTAGGAATGTTAAGAAAAATGTAAGGAAAGCAAAGAGAGACTATGAAATCAAAATAGCAAGAGAATCCAAGGCGAATCCCAAGGGATTTTTCCAGGTATATTGGACAAAGGTCAAGGACAAAGTTGGGCCTTTAAAGTCAGGGAGGGGAGAATTGATAAATGGCAGTGAAGACATGAGCAAAGCATTGAACAGCTACTTCTTATCAGTTTTCACAGAAGAAATTTGCGATGAAATTCCGGAGGTGGAACTGATATTTAAGGGAAAGGAAGAAGAGAAATTAAAGAATATCACCATCAGAAAAGAGGATGTTCTTAAGAAGATAAATAAACTAAAGAACACAAAATCCCCAGGGCCGGATGAAATTTTTCCTCGAGTCTTAAAAGAGTGTAGGGAACAGATTAGCGGACCCCTCGTAAATTTATTTACAAAATCATTAGACACTGGAGTTGTGCCAGAGTTGTGGAAACAGGCGAATGTAGTACCCATATTTAAAAAGGGAGACAGAGCATCAGCGTCAAATTACCGGCCGATCAGTTTGACGTCAGTAGTGGGGAAATTTCTTGAATCAATTATAGCAGATAGCATCCGATCGCATCTAGAGAAAAGGAAATTAATCTACGACTCTCAACATAGGTTTACAAAAGGAAAATCTTGTCTAACAAATCTGCTAACGTTTTTTAGGAAAGTCTTCGAGGTAGTAGATAATGACGAAAATTACGATGTTATTTACTTAGACTTTAGCAAAGCATTTGACAGAGTACCGCATCAGAGGCTTCTGAGAAAAATTAAGGCTCATGGTATCGAGGGGAAAGTTTTAAATTGGATAAAATCATGGCTCACCGATAGAACGCAGAGGGTCAGCGTAGATGGTGTTAAATCTGAGTGGGGCCGTGTAACCAGTGGGGTTCCCCAGGGGTCAGTACTAGGCCCACTCTTGTTCATAATCTACATAAACGATTTAGATACTGGGATCAGCAGTGACATAAGCAAGTTTGCGGATGACACCAAAATAGGGCGGCAAATTAATTCAGGGCAGGATGCAAATGCATTACAGGAGGATCTAAATAAACTGCAGGGATGGTCTGAAAAATGGCAAATGAAATTCAACACCAGCAAGTGCAGCGTACTTAATATTGGAAGAACAAATACTTATAATGTATACAGCCTGAACAACATCAACCTAGAGAAGTCGACTTGTGAAAGAGACCTAGGGGTACTTGTAAGCCCGGACCTACGGCCTAGAAAACAGTGCGTTAATGTTCGAAATAAGGCAAACAGAGTATTGGGTTTTATATCTAGAAGTGTAAGTAACAAGAGTGCAGAGGTCTTATTGCAACTATATCTTGCGCTAGTTAGGCCGCACCTCGATTATGCGGTTCAGTTCTGGTGCCCCTATTATAGAATGGATATAAATTCACTAGAGTCGGTGCAGCGAAGAATGACAAAAATGATTCAGGGACTTAGAAACCTTCCATATCAGGATAGGTTAAAGAAACTTAACTTGCATTCCCTAGAAAGACGAAGAGTGCGGGGAGATATGATAGAAGTATTTAAGTGGGTGAAAGGAATCAATAAAGGGGATATAGATAAAGTTCTTATAATATCCGAGCAGGATAGGACTCGGAGCAACGGATTCAAGTTGGATAAGTTTAGGTTTAGGAGGGAGATAGGAAGAAACTGGTTCACAAATAGGGTGGTGGACGAGTGGAACAAGCTTAGCAACTTGTAGTAAGTGCGGGAACTCTGGAAAGTTTCAAAAGGAGGCTAGATAGATTCATGGATGATAGAGAGTGGTAATAACTCTCGACAGGAGCTGCCATGCACAGGTAAACCTGCCTATTGCAGACTCCTTATTTTCTTATGTTCTTATGTTCTTATGCTCTACAGACTGCTCAAGTGGCTTTAACGCCAATCAGTGACGAAATAATTAAAGTATACAGTGTTGTTTACATTTGTTTTCATATATCTAATACATCATGTATATACTACGTAACAATCATGACACGGCCGTACCTTGTGTTATTATGTGTATATTCAGACGATTTTCGGTTGAGGCTTTACTCCTGAACCAGCTCTTGGTGAGATAGAATATGAAAAGTAATGCTTTAAAAACTCAATAATTGTTGACATGTTCAAACTGCCAGAAAACTGATAAGTGATGGAAACAATAATATAATATCAACAAAAATATAAATTGTGAAATATTGTCGACCTCGCGTGCAATGATTTAGTATCGTACATTTGACACCTTATTTCATGTGCTCTATCCTTATGTCCCTCCAATATTTCAGGAAAACAAACAATAATCCCTAGTCATAAAATAACCCCGCAATAAAATACTTAGAAAGCAAATTATATAATCAAATTTGATTGAAATAAATAAAACAAAGCGTAAAAAAAGATTTAATACATAATTTATATTAATTTATAGAGATGAGTATATCATGATAGACAAGAATTGTATGTGCCCGACATAGGAAATTAAAATTGCCTTACTCTACGTTATTTTGTCAAATTTTATCAAAATTATATTTATCATTCCTAACTGCCTTTATTTTGAAAGAAATACATTTAATGTAAATTACACCATTATAATTATTTATTGGTCATCGCCATGAAGGCAACAGATGCTTGTTTATCGAAACTCATCTTAACTCTTATTGTAACTCAATAAAGAGCAGAAGTTGATGATTAAGTAGTTTATCAAAATAAAATGTGTTAACTGTGGACAATTTAACTAAAATAACCAGGTGTATTTAAGAGCCCCGCCTGATGATGTCATGTTCAACATTCACCCCTATGTCTTGAAATCTACCTGTAATAGTAAAGTCTATAAAATATGTTTATCACCAATGTATATCAACAATATTGAATGATATTATGCGAATAATAAGTTGATCGTAATTAAGGCTGGTATTAACGAGATCTTGTACAATATTGTGGTTTGTATTTGCGGGAATATAACAAAATACTGGAACAACATCCCATCCCTGTTGAGGAGGTCGAAGAAACTCGTCTGCGATCCAAACATTACACGGACACCAGTGCGGAGATAATGGCGGGCCTTAATTGTGATGGTACACGGGGTGTGTGGGCACTCTCAAAGCGTCTCTGATGTGCTGTAGAAGCTGAGAGTACCATGAGTGAAACCCATTTGAGGAGGGTATTGGTGGAAGATATACCATCGCTCGTGGCGTGCCACACCGTAGCGAGCCAGTCAGCTGATTTGGCCCCAGTACACAGTGCCAGGGTGAGGAGCTCCCACGCCCACGTCATGGAGAAGAGGACGGTGGCAGATGGCACCACCCACGTCATCGACAAGAGGCCACTGACAGATGGGGTCGCTCATAGCTCTGGGCTTGCCACAGAGCTAAGGGAGAAACTGACCATCAAGATTGGTGTTATGAATGGCATGAAGATTGGCACCACAGATGCTGAGGTGCATGTGCCATCGGTTAAGTCAACCAAGTCACTTGTGTTAGAGGAGCAGTGTTCAGAGTCTAGTCATGATTCCGCGTCCAAATCTGATATCAACGGGACGGTGTGTAATGGCCACTCTGTGTCCGAAGCGACCAGTAGCAATAGTATCGCAATTTCAGACACATTTTCCATAAATTCAGAAAAGTCTTCGGACTCCTCCCATTCATTTTCTGGTGCTCGACCAAGGACAAGAAACACATCTAACAGTTCACAAAGCACACAACCTAAAAGTGAGAACGATCTTAGCTCAACCAGTGAAAGTTTAATAACTCCGGAAATTTGCATAAGTCCTGTTCCATTGATTGTAGACAATGATCTGAAAGTAGACTATGTTAATTATGAAAATGAATTACAAATGTCGGCCATAATGAGGCTAATTCAGAAGGATTTATCGGAACCATATTCAATATATACTTATAGATATTTTATACATAACTGGCCCAAACTGTGCTTCCTGGTACGTAGCATTATTGTGTGTGTTGGGGTCTGCCAGTGCCAAGGTGTTGAATTATGTCTTAAAGTGAAACTCAGACCATCATAAGTTATCATTATGTTTCATCAGGTAGTGATTAATATATTCATGTTTCTTAAAACAAGACTAAGGTGTAAAGAAAGAATGTCACTTTATTACTTGTAAATTTTTTAAAGGTTCTTTCCTGTTTTATTAGCTTTCATGCATAGAATGAAAAAAAATTCAGGAAAGAAAAAATTAAAGAGAGTACTGTTAAAAATGAGTTGCAGACTGTGAGTAATTTATGCCAGCAGACAAAATCAAGCAAGCAGATGATGATTGTATACTAGTGGTAATGTGCTCGCCTCTCACTGCTGTGTCCCAGGTTTGATCTCTTGGTCAGATGTGAGAATGGTGTTAACCAGTGTGATCCTCCCAAACATTGCTGGATTTTTCTGGGTAATCAAATTTTCTCCTTTACTAATACAGTACTTGACAATCATGATCATAAAAAAAACGACTGCTGGACTGGCTAGAAAGCTGACAGGTGGTGGAATAAAAACAAATAAAGAATAATGTTAGGTTGGTTGGTCTGGTTAAAAAAAATATATATAATTAAAAATAATTTAGTTTGATTGATTAGTCTCTTAGGTTTTCAAATTCTTCAGGTATCTACACACAAGCTGTTCTCATATTTGGTGTGATGCCAACCTCCCTTCCTGCTCATAAGTTCATTTGTGTGTTTTCCTCACTGCAATACATAGCTACATTAAAAAGAACTTACTTGGAAATATCCTTTAAGAGAATTCAGAGTAACAAGATGGCACATTTCTTTACATTTTTACCCAAATTAGTTGTGGTTAGTGTCATATTACTTTGATTTTGTTTCAGATTTTTGGGATTCATTTATGACAAAAAGGAACATCTTTGTACAAGTTTATATTACAACTTTCTTGTGTTTAAAGTTAAGGATTTGGGTGTTGACAAGGATTTACTTAATAGCAAGGCTTAAAGTACAGTACTATTGTACAATGAATTTTTAAAAAATTACAGTATGGTACAGTACCCTTGTATTGGTTGAGGAAAAAGTATAATTTCCGTTTGATTTTATTGCTTTATCGAATCTCTGTTGAAACTTCTTTTAAGGCCGAGGCGATGTACAGACAAATTTTATCACATTGTCTCTTGATAACTAAGATTGTAATGATTCTCAAGAAACCTAACCTAACCATGAGTAAGATACTTGAGTACTGTACAACTTCTCATCCATACTGATATACAATGTAAGGAGATTTGTCAGTACAAATAGCCATGGCACCTCTTTTAATGCATCGCTTACAAAATCAGTGGTGGTAGCAAAAATACTAATGTGAACCTTCATTGGTAGTATTGAAAAAAGGATCTCATGAAGATTAAGAACCACTGCTTATTTCACCAAATGATTAACCCTATAGACGTTTATTTTGTTTCTAAGTTGCAATTCCAAGGAAAGTATGAAAATTATATTGGTGTACTGGTCTTTTTTAACTACTTTTTTTTAGTAAGGTAACACCATAAAGTTTCTGTATCTAGTTTTAATATTTCTTATAAACATCTGACAGCAAGGGAAAAAATTATTATTTTTTTAAATGAAGCATTTATGGGTTCCTCATTTTATGCTATGCAAATTAGCCAAAACTTTATCAAAGGTTGTAAAAAAACATACTGGCATCAGAAGCAAAATTTGTCCTTATACAGTATAGCTAAAAAATATGATACAGTACTGTGTTCTTTTGCACTCGCCATTAGGTGGTAAAATTCTCTCTCTCTCTCTCTCTCATATATATATATATATATATATATATATATATATATATATATATATATACACACACATATATATATACACGGTCTCTCCTCGACTTACGACGGGGTTCCGTCCCGACGACCAGGTCGTAAGGCGAAAATAATACATAGAAATTCTAAAATAGGTGTCTCTTTTTCTTCTCAGCACCATGAGAACTCTCACATTTACGCTTGCCAGCCATTTTAAAGGGAATTAAAAAAAAAAAATTTGTCAGTACACAACGTGATCACTAACGTCAGGACTCGGAAATACGTAATTTGAAAAATATTTAACACGACCACGGCGGTCGTATGTCCGGGTAGTCGTAAGTCGAGGAGTACCTGTATACTGTATATTAGAGCTGCTCCCTGACTTACGACGGGGTTAGGGACCCAAATCCAGGTCGTAACTCGAAATGGTCTTAAGTCGAAAATGCTTAAATAATACATAGAAAATCTAAAATGGGTGTCTCTTTTTCTTCTCAGCACCACAAAACTCTCACTTTTAAGCTTGCCAGCCATTTTAAAGTGAATTACAAAAAAAAATTTTGTGAGTACACAACGCAATCACTGACGTTGGGACTCGAAAATATGTGTATATATATATATATACTGTATATATATATATATATATATATATATATATATATATATATATATATATATATATATATATATATATATATATATATATATATATATATATATATATATATGCTATAACGAATCTAATTGGTTCCAGAACCTCGTTCGTTATAGGATTAATCCGTTCCAGGCCCCCAAATACAACCACTTAACACTGAAAAAATTCTGTGGAAAATGTAAAAAATACGGTACTTTATCTTACCTTAGTGTTGTTCAGCATGCAGGACAGGAGGCAGAGGGGGGAGGAGAGAATTATGGAGAAGAGGTGGAAGAAGAGGAGTCATCCTTCCTAACCCTCTTTGGTGACTGTCTCACAGGCACTTTGTCTGTAGGTTCTTTTGTTACCTTTGTAAAGAAGGAATCCAGGGTTGGCTGCTTCAACCTTGATTTCTGGACCTTCCAAAAGTAGTTCATAACATTGTCATTAAACACACTGATGGCCTTTTGCACAGAACCAACATCAGGATGATAATCCTCAGCAAGTTTGGACAGTTTGCTCCAGCAAAAAAACGCATCCTTGAGATCTTTGGCTGGAATGATGCGACTTTCCTCCTTGTCCACCTCCTCCCCTGACTCCTCAGAAGTTAAGCTCCGCTTCAGTGTCTCATTTTCTTCTTTGTGAAGCTCAAGCAGCTCCTCAGTGGACAGTTCCTTACTGTGCTCTTCCACCAACTCCTCAACATCATCATCATCCACTTCCAGGCCCATGGAATTGCCCAGAGACACAATTTCATGAACAACAGCCTCTTCTTCTAACTCTTCGAAGTCTCTTTGAAGCACACATTCAGGCCACAATGGCCTCCAAGCAGCACAAAGACACCTCACAGTAACCTCTTTCCAGGCTGAGGTAATTAAAAAAAACAGCGTCTGCTATATTGAAGTGACTCTTCCAAAATTCCTTCAAACTAACATCACTGGAAGAAGTGGATGCAAAACATTTTCTAAACAGTGCCTTTGTGTACAGCTTCTTAAAGTTAGAAATTACCTGTTGATCCATGGGCTGGATGAGAGGTGTTGTGTTGGGTGGCAAGAAGTGCACAGTGATGAAGTTGAACTCCTCTGGCAATTCAACCATCAAATTAGGAGGGTGGGCTGGTGCATTGTCCATCACCAACAAAGCTTTCAGTGGAAGATTATTCTCCCTGAGGTATTCCCGAACACTGGGTCCAAACACCTCAATCACCCACTCAGAGAATAAACTCCTGGTCACCCAAGCTTTTGGGTTTGACCGCCACATAACACCAAGGCGGGTCTTCCTAATGTTTTTGAAAGCTCTGGGGTTTTCTGCATGGTACACAAGGAGTGGCTTTATTTTGCAGTCACCAGAAGCATTAGCACAAAGAAGGAGGGTAAGCCTGTCTTTCATTGGCTTATGGCCAGGGACAGAAGTTTCCTCCTTGGTAATGTATGTACGGCGAGGCATTTTTTTCCAAAAAAGTCCAGTTTCATCACAGTTGAATACCTGCTGAGAAACAAAGCCTCCCTCTTTAATCACATTCAAAAAAATGTCATGGTGTTCCTTAGCTGCTTCCTTATCTGCACTAGCAGCATCACCATGTCTCACAACACTATGTAATTTATTTCTCCTTCTGAAACCAGTAAACCACCCCTTGGTACCCCTAAACACTGGCACATCACTATCACTTGCACTGGGAGTCTTGGCTTTAAGGTCCTCAAACAATTGTCTGGCCTTCTCACAAATTATAGCTTCACTAATGCTATCACCTGCCATTTCTTTCTCCTTTATCCACACTAAGAGTAAATTTTCCATCTCCTCAATCACATTACACCTTGCTTTGCTAAGTCTAGAGATTCCCTTAGCCACTTCCACAGTTTTCAACTCCTCTTCATTCTTCAAAATCGTACATATAGTCGATTCAGCCATCCCATACTCATCACTAAGTTTTGCAATGCTTGTTCCATCCTCACGTTTCTTTATGATTTCTTTCTTAATTTCAAGAGTTATAAGCTTTCTCACTCGCTTTGGACGATTCATTGTTACAATTGTACACTTGTATAACAAAATATTTATACAAATAACTCTATTTCCACATCAAAAGACGAAATTTCAACAATAACAGTGGTGCACTGGCTACACAATGAGACAAAGATGGCGCCTGACGCTCTTGTTGTGGGTCGGCACAATAGTCCCGATATTTGTAGTGTTATGTTAGTATATCTCTCAATTTTATAGACCTAGTTATAGCATACCTTACTGTATATATACAGTTATATGGACCTTACTAATATTCTATAACGAACGGATCCTACTACTAATATTCCTATAACTAACAGTTTTACCTATAAAATTGAGAATGCTATAACTAACTAAACTCCTACAACTAACATTATTTAAAAATTTTTTTTTTTTTTACTAATTTATTGTTTTTTATTACAAGTATTAATGATATTCTTTATTTCCAGGGTTTAGATGCATATTTATGCACTTTTTTACAATTTTACAATTTTATATTATATTTTTCAGTGTTAAGTGGTTGTATTTGGCCTGGAACGGATTAACCTATATCTAATCTAAT